CTGAGTTTGGCTTCATTAATCAAGTGAAAGCCAAATAGGGATTGGAACTGTTATTACATTGATATAAGGTGCATTTTCTACCAGTGCGACTCAAGTTATAGAGAGCTGCAGAGGTCATTGAGAAATTAAGTGATTTGCCAAGGGTTACTGGGCACTGCCTCAGTCATACTGAGACCTGTTAAAGACCTTAGCTTAAAAAGGCCAAGATCTCCCAGTGCATCTAGGGCCATCTCTTATTGTCCTGGTCTATATCTTGCTGATAGACCAAGATGGCTTTGGAAGAGAAAGTGAGGCTGGTGACTTTGCACAGCCCTCCCTTACTTAAATCCACTTCATTTGCATGTCATGGCATCACCTCCCTGGTGTCATGGCCCTCTTTGAGAGTGAAGGATAAACAACAACAAGAAACATGTTCCAGAGGCTGGATGTGGAGGTGAGTCTTCCTGGTTCTGAAGCTCTGAAGTGCTATATTCCTGGCTCTGTGTAATATCCATTATACCACACTGACTCACCAGGTTAGTAGATACAAAGATAAAAAATAAAATATGCTGTCTCTCAAGGAACCTACGTTCTATCAATGTCTACTTTGAACTAAAATAATTACAATAACAATAAAGTAACATCTCACTTATGAAAAGGTCAGTTGCCCATTGATGTCAACAGCAAGGAACCAGAATGAAAGTAAATTAGCTACACATTTCTTGGACCAGTTTAAAGTCAATCTTAGCTTGAACCTGAAGTTGGCTGGGGGGGGGGGGCGGGAGCGGGGACACATATAGAAGTAGAGAATATTGGTATTAAAAGGACCCATACAGATCGTCTAATCCAACCTCCTCATTTTAGAGAAAAGGAAACTGAATCCCAGAGAGCTATAATTTGGGGAAATTAAAGAGTATGGTTGGAGTTCTTGGCTTGCATAAGCATAACCTTAGGCTATGATTATGTCTATGCATAAAACCACTTTAACTGAATTCAGATTTTTTTTTAAATCAGTTGAGTTCTGTGGAACAAACAGGTGTAAGGAAGGGTGAGGTGAATTAAGAGAGGGCAGGAGACTTGTTTATTTGGGGTCAGCAGGATGCCTGGCAGCCATTTTTCAACCAGCTCTCTTGACAATGTGCAGGCTCTGTCTGGAAGCCTGAATGTCTTAGGAAGGAAAGGCACATTTTAGCAAATGGGCATCAAGTGGTAGGAGACAGCTTTTTTTTTTCTTTCTGAAATCGTTTTATTCTGAAGCTTCAAAGGAAGTAAATTACAACCAACCATGGAGGTACTATTCAAATGAGATGTAGTGGATGGAATGCTGAGTTCTACAATTATTTTCCCCAACTTTTTAGCATTAGTTTTTTCCATGTCATCTAATTTTGCTGCAGAACATTTCTCATTTCTGCAAATTCTGTGTTGGCTAGGAAAGTGGAAAGGAGATCTCTGCCACACAGAGGTAAGATAGTGAGGCAGCAAGGTGTGGTAGGTTGGTAGATTACTAGGTCTCTAGGCAAGTTCACAGGTGGCCTCAGGCTTTTACTAGCTATTTGACTCTGGGCAAGTAAGTAGTTCGATCTCTGTTCGCCATAGTTTCTTCATTTGTAAAACGGGGATAATAATAGGACCCACCTCCTATAGAGAAAGCAAGGAAGTTCCAGAAAAAACATCTATTTCTGCTTCATTAACTATACTAAAACTGTGTGGATCACAACAAAATGTGGCAAGTCCTCAGAGAGATGGGAGTACCATATCATCTTATTTGTCTGCTGTGCAGCCTGTATGCAGGCCAAGAAGCAACAGGTAGAACTGAACATGGAATAACTGATTGGTTTAAGATTGGAAAACGAGTAGAACAAAGCAGTATATTGTCACCTTATTTATTTAACTTATATATAGAGTACATCATGCAAAATGTCAGGATGGATAAATCAAAAGCCAGAATTAAAGTTACTGGGAGAAATATCAACAATCTCAGATATGCAGATGAATACCACTCTGATGGCAGAAAGTGAAGGAGAATTAAGAAGTCTGTTGATGGGGGGTGAAAGAGGAGAGTGTAGTAAAAGCTGACTCGAAGCTTAACATCAAAAAAACCCCCTAAGATCTTGGCAACTGGTTCCATCACTTCCTGGCAATTCAAGGGAGAAGAAATGAAAGCAGTGTCAGACTTCATATTATTGGGCTTAAAGATCACTTTAGACAGCGACTGAAGCCATGAAATAAAACGATGCTTACTTCTTGGAAAAGCTATGGCAAATCTAGACAGCATATTAAAAAGCAGAGACATCACCTTACCAATAAATGGGCTGTATAGTTAAAGCTTTGGTTTTTCCAATAGCAATGTATGTCTGTGAGAGTTGTACTATAAGGAAAGCTAAGTACCCACAGAATCGACACTTTGTGGTGCTAGAGAAGACTTTTGAGAGCCCCTTGAATAGCAAGGAGGTCAAATCAGTTATTACTTAAATAAATTAATTCAGGCTATTCGCTGGAAGGTCAAATACTGAAGCTGAAACTTAAATATTGTGGTCACATAATGAGAAAATGGGACTCATTGGAAGTTGGTGTTGGGAAAGATTAAAGGCGAAAGGCAAAGGGGAAGGCAGAGGATGAGATGGATACGTAGTGTCATGGAAACAACAACATGAACTTGGACAGACTTTGAGAGATAGTAGAGGATAGAAGGGGTGGCATATTATGATCCACAGGGTCATGAAAAGTTAGACGCTACTGAACCACTGAACAACAACAGCAGCACCTAGCAGAGTTCTTGTGAGGATCAAGTGAAATAATAATTGTAAAGTGCCTGCACGTAGTAAAAACTATATAAGTGTTTACTCTTATTGTTAGGTAGAATGTTAAAGAAGAAATGGAAATCCACTCATGGTTACGTGTACCTTTGATTCCCCTTTTACTTTGTTTTTTGTTCTTTAAATTTTATTTTTCATTTATGGAATAAAACAAGCATTTCCGTAACATGGTACAATAAAAAAGATGATTGTACATGAAACTGCAAATCTACTTTGCACAACTTACAACAAAATTATTATGTAAATTAATTTTTTTTCTTTTTTCTCTACCCCTCCCTCGACCTAGCGATGGCTACCAGTATACATGCACACACATACATACATACATATATGTAAAATTATTCTATTCATATTTCTATTTATCAGTTCTTTCTCTGGTTGCAGATAGCTTCTTTCTTCATATATCCTTTATAGTTAATTTGGGTATTTATAATAGACAAAATAACTTATTCTCTCAAAGTCATTCTTAAAACAGTATTGCTGTTACTGCATGCAATGTTCTCTTGGTTCTGCTCATTTCACTCTTCATTATTTGGTGCAAGTCTTTCCATGTTTTTCTAAAATCGTTGAGCTGATCATTTCTTATAACACAGTGGTATTCCATCACAATCATATATCACAACTTGTTACTTTGTAGATGATTTTTTATTCTGTACTGAAAATAGTTTTCTATAAACCAAAGCTTCCTTTGAATGTTATTGGACCAGCTTCTCACCTTCCTTGAAAGTTAATACATGTTAAGCTCAACAATTTAGCAAAAATGAACAACTGCTTGCCTTAGTAGAAATCTAGCTTAAAGTGCTCATTTATGATGCAAAGTGAAAAAATCTTGCCCTGTTTTGTTTTTAGGGTGTAAAAAATCTATAAATTTTTCATATGCCCAGACCATTGACTAGATTTTTTCTTTTTTTATTTGATCTTTTGTACTGTATACAAAAGATAACAAATAAAAATATTTCAATATCAAGATATGGGGAAATTTTAGTTACCGTCTTTTGAAAAAAATTCCCTTATTGGATTCACTGATCCCCTCCTCTACTTAAGTGAAAAATCATTCCCCACCCCTACCTCACTTAAGTCCTGTCTGTCACACTTTGTACTTACCTGATGGACAGCCATGTTATATTTCTGTCATACCTATTTGTAAATATGCTTGTTACTCAAACGGCTACTTTCTGAGTTCCATTAGGATGTGGACTGTGTCTTATTTATCTCTCTTATCTCCCTCAGTTTCATAGCACAATATTTTCCGTGTAGTAGATACTTACCATATATTTGCTGAATTGAATTGAATTAATCTTTTTGATAAATTATTTTATGATTGTATCAAAAATATGAGCCACTATCTAAGAAACAAAGCAAAACAGACCACTTAGAATATAAAAGTCTGAAATAAGATATATGATGTGTTCTAGCATGCAATGCCCATTTGCTTATCTTATACCATAATAGTATTCATTTTTCCTGGATATTACTTTTTTGATATTAAAGTTATGCATAAATTGACCCATACACTGTATTTTCTTTTCAGATACATGGGAAGTTGAATGAATTATTTATAATTTTGCTAAAGCATTAATAGGGATTAATAATGACAATGGTTTTATTCAACCAGAAAAATTACATCTGTTGTATTTTGGACATTTAAAAATTAAGTAAAATGTTTCCCTAAATTTAGTGAGATTGGCGGTGTGGAGACTTCAGTCGTTATCAGGGCATAAGCCAGCAGTAGTCATGTGCTAAGGCTAGCAGATCAGAAGCAGCTAGGTGGCAGCGAACAGAGCATTGGACCTGGAGTCAGAAAGTCCTGAATTCAAATTACGCCTCAGATACTTACTACTTGTGTGACCCTGGGCATGTCATGTAACCTCTCAGGGCCTTAGTTTTATTTTCTGTAAAAAGGGGGATAATAATAGCACCAGGATTGTTGTGGGGAGCAAATGGCAAATATTTAAATATTTTCAACAAAATATCTAGTAAAAAGTATTTAGCACAATGTTTAGCACATAATAGGTACTATGTAACTGCTAGCTATTATACCATTGGACTAAACTGGAAATTCAGTATGAAAAAATTATAGCTAGCTAACACCTTATATCCAGAAAGATTTATGTTTTTAGTATACATGAGATTTTTTTTCTGCTAGTTATCTTTAAACACGTTTAACTGATGGAAGTGTTTCTTCCTGTCTTTCTTTTTCCATAGGATTATGATGTAAGAGTTCAAGGATTGGATAAAAAATTGGCATCATATAAAAACCAGCCCTCTATTTCTGCCCACTTATAATAATCCATGATATGTTCTTCAAATTGTAAGTAAATAAGTTTAATGGTGGAGTTTGGGAGGGAAAATATGAAAGCAGATCTTATGGAACACTTAGGCTATTTCAGCAAACGTTCCAAAATTCTTTAGGAGGACAGGATAGTTATAAAAAATAATTCTGTGCACTAATGCGTATATGTGAGCAGTTGTTCGCAGAACCTGCTTTCAAAATCTATATAGTTCAAGATTAAAACTGATTATGACAAATTTCACATTATAATAGAATGTTACTTCCTATATGGTTTCTAATCTTTTTAAATATATCAAAATATTCTTGAAAATTGTTGATCTTTGCCCATGCTTCTAAGTGAAGTTGAAATTAAGTCTATTTAAGCATCATTCATGTGCGTGTGTGTGTGTGTGTGTGTGTAAATGATTATACCACTGAAATGATCTCCAGTAAGAATATTTCTCCGAGGTCAGCTTCTTTTTTAAGTTTAAAGGTTTCATTAATACAAAAGAGGTATTTGCTATATTGAAACTTTACTAAAACATTTTATCAGCCCAGTTATTTCAATAAAAAATAGAGTCTTTCAACCTGATACTTGGTCTATACAGGTCTGTAACCATTAGGGGACTTAACTTACTGAGTTGAATCAATTAATTGACCAGGCGTTTCAGTGTCACGCATTTATGGTCACATAGTCATGAGGCCTGGGACAATTCATAAATATCATGTGGTTGTGATTGTTTATTACAGATTGGTGTGGAGACACTGCCAGGGAAATACTTTAATTCTTTGACTAAAATTAGGAGAAGGATTGGGACATTATTGTATTAGTTATTAAAGCCCTATCAAAGCCTAGAACAAATGTAAATCAATAACAATGAAAATGACCATTATGGTAGACTAGTCTTAATTCAGTATATTTGATCGATAACCCAAATCAGATCATCTCACTCTCTCTCCCTCTCCCAGAAGCCAGTTGTGACTCCCTTCCCCCTCTTCCTTTAAACTATGATTCATTTCTTTGCTACATGCATGTCTATACCATGCTTCTACAATGTACCTTTCTATTTAGAGAAGCAACAATAACGTTTTCTAATTATAAGGATCACCTTTCTTCTGAGACATCTTCAGTGCTTGCAAATATAATCCCATTTAAATTTCCTTTGAGATTTCTAGACTACATTACTAACTTCATTTTCTCCTCCTATGTAGTGGGATGAGTGATTACCATGAGTTCATGTACCAGTGCCAGAATTAAAATTGAAACATGGACTGATTCAGAGAGAAACTCAATAAACCAAATAAGATCTATATGTGTCCACTTCAGGCAGTTAGGTGGCAGACTGAATAGAGCATTGGACTTGGAGTTAGGAAGTCCTTAATTCCAGTCGTGCCTTGAGCACTTACTAGCTGGGCATGTCACAACCTTTCTGTGCCTCAGCTTCCTCATCTGTAAAAATGGGGCTAATATTAGCATGTACTTCTTCCCAGGGTTGTTTGTGAGGACAAAATGAGATAATATTTGTAATGTTCTTTGCAAACTTTAAACCATTATATAAATGCTGTCTTTTATTACTCTCCCTTTGCTGCCACAAATTTGCTGTGTCATCTTGGAAAGTGACATAAATGCAGTGTTATGGGTAGTAATTTCTGATGTTAATGGGCTTTACCATCAAAATGTCCAAATTGGCCTTTTAAAAACTAACTTAAAAAAATGATTGAATGCCACGGTATCAATAAAATTACAGATATAATATGAATGAAAATGATCTGTTTATTTGCATTTAGATCCATTTTCAGTGTTCCCAAAAGTAAAACAGAGATGCATATTTAAGATCTTAGTTTGTGTTCTAATTTAATACAGGGCTAAAAAAAAGTCTGAGGCAAATAAGTGCTATGACATCAGACTATAAAGTATTTATTATCTTATAAAATGAGAACATAACCATGATGGCTTCTCCTTCCCTTAACTAAAATTAAAAAGATTTCTATGTTTTTAATTTTTTAAGTTATTGATCAAATTTAAGAGACTTTAAAATCCTAACAGAAATGTTTTATGGTAAACCCCAACTTTTAAGCTATATTAATAGTTAATAAACATTTATTAAGAGGCTCCTATGTGCCAGGATAGACTTAAGATCACTATTATTATTTTATTGGTACCCTGAATGTATACAGCTATGTTCCTACCATAAAAAAGCCTCGTATATGAAAATGCAAATGTAGAAAGTTGATAAATTAAGACAGCTTTTTATTTTTGTGGTTTTACATATCTTGCAAAAATATTGACCATGGATTTCCTTGAACAGGAAATATACTCCCATAATTCATTTTCCTAAAGTTGGATTCACAGAAAACACATCAGAAATTCACTCTTTCTGTAAAGTGAATTATATCTGCATTTGCATATTATAATCCTTTCCTTAAGTGTTTTCACTATTATCTACATTTGCATGCAATTGCAATAGTATTATCTGAGTGACCTCTTAAATTATAGGCAGTTTTCATATTGAACAAATTTATATCCCTTCCTTATCAATAAATCAAACCCTAGGGTTAAGACTATTACTTTATGAGCAAAATGTCTATTAGGAAAATTAATTTTAATACTTGATTGAGTCATTTGAAACACTCCTTGTGTATGTGAGAGGAAGATGTACAAAAAACAAGGTACACCAAAGCAATACCTTTTTATGTACTTTCAAATGATAGAATAATGGTCAATGATTAGACTCATTTAATCTATTTTGTATGTAAATTCTTCTGTATAAATTTGGTATCTCTCGCATTCACAAAGATCTTTAAGAATGAAGATTCCAGAACTAAAATATAGTTACTTATCTCTTTTTTAAAAAGCACTTAATGTTGGAATTCCTTTCTCACAACTGGCCTAAATCCTTCAAAAAATATTCTGAGCCTATTCCATCTTGTCTTTTGTCTAAGAGATCATTAAGAATAGTTTTTCTCATGTGTGGTATAATAACTTTGCCTTAAAAATTAAGAACCAAAATATTACTGACTTTTAAAAAAATACCACCTTGTTCTTCATTTTTCTGTGAATGGGAAGGCAGATATTAAAAATAAAGTAAGACTTTTAAAAAATTCTGATTTAATTATAAATTTAATTAATTTGTGTTATTCATCTTAAAAATAAGCAAATAGTGTATTCCCCTTAAGATATTGGAATGGAAGGTCAGTTTAAGATGAGATAATTTAAGCCCAATGAAGACAGTGACTTGCTCGAGAAGTAAAGCCCAATTTCAAATTGAGGTCCCCTAATCCCAAATGTAGGACTCCTTTCTAAGATAATATAAATAGATTCTTTTGTTCCAAAGATCATCATCAAGTAAACCTTTAGCTTTTGCTATTTCAGAAAAAAATACATTTATTATAACTAATTCAATCTTTTTTCAACAAATTTCAGTTTTGAATCTGTTAATCCAGTGGAAAGAACACTGAACATGGGGTCAGGACACATGAGTTGTAATCCTAGTTCTTTTACCAATCTATGAAGTCCCCCTCTAAAGCTCTTTCACTTCCAATATTTTGTAAGCCTATGATTCTCACCCTGCACTTTTTCTTTTGCTCTTCTCCCCTGCGGGAAAAATTCCGTAGTTCTCTTAAATGTTGCTGTCTGGCTCAGTGGATACAGTGCCAGCCCTGCAGTTGAGAAGACTCAGCTTCCTGAGTTCAAATCCGACCATAGACATTTACTAGCTATGTGACCCTGGAAAAGTCACTTAACCGTTTGCCTCAGTTTCCTCATCTGTACAATGACTGGAGAACGAAATGGCAGACCATTCCAGTATCTTTGCCAAGAAAAAACCCAAATGGAGCCACAAAGCATCAGACATGACTGAAATGACTGAACAACAGCAGAATAAGATTTCAGAAGGGGTCTTAGTGTATGTTAACAAAAGAATAATTTACAGTTGATTGTTGTTATAGTATGAAATTATGAGGGGTAGTGTAATATATTGGATAAAAAGCTGGGCTCAGAAACAAGAAAACTGGGTTCAAGCCCTGCATCTGATACATAGCAGGTCTGTGAATCTAGGCCAGTCACTTGCCTCTAAACAGTTCTCTAAATCACTAAGCTAGAGAGAAGAATCTGGTCTTCATTAGTAGAAGTTCCTCACTAGAAGCTCTTTATGCTGGTGAAATTAGAGGTTTAGTCAAAAAATAAATGAACCAGTTCACATAGTCTCAGTTCCTATCATATTTATCTTTTCTGTTTTTTTCTACTTTTTAATGATAATGTTATAGTGTTGGTTCACAGTTTTCGGTCTTCTTTGATATCTTTCTAATGCGGCCTATAGGAACTCTTTCTGGTGTATGTCTTGCCGATAATTCCAGCTCTTGGATTTATGAATTTATACTGCTACTTGTGGTTTGGTCTACATGGAAAAGCCAGATTAAGACTTCTCTGTTGTGTAATTGTCAACAAACAACAGATGGGGAATTAATTTAATATGAATGGAAGGTAACTCAGATTAATTCAATCCTATGCTCAGTTATGGAGTGGAAAGTAGAGCAGGTTGAAGAATCACTTTCTCCTTCTATGGGAGATAGAGTTAGGCCTTTCCTTGGCAGCCATGTGCCCACAAACCTGTACATTTAGAGTCATTACCGATCTTTCCTTCTATAAAGTTAGAGATCATCTACTCTGCATCATGCATTGTAGCACTCATTCTATATGGTTTAGGATAGTAACTTTTTATGTACAGCTCATCTCCCACATCAGACAGCAACCTCTGGTAGGTCAAATATTGTGTCATACATAAACACACATAGGCATGTCTTCATACATACATTTTATTTATATATATATATATATATATATATATATATACACACATATATATATACATATATATATATATACACACACACATATATATATATACACATATATATAATATATGTATGCATATAGGCGTGTCCCTTATAGTTCATAGTGTAATGTCTTGAAATATAACAGGCACTAAATAAATATTTATTAAAATGAACATTGCAGGATGCCAATCAGGGAAGGTTAG